GTCTGCTCCCTTGATACTTAACATATGTACACAGATCTAAAATAGCCAGTTTTGTATATGAATTATAATGAAAGAAAGCTTTGACTACCAGATCTAAAACATGATGATAATATGAAGAAAGACTTAAAATAAAAAACAAACAAACCCTCCATTGCCTACAAACACAAGACACTTTAGAATGCATACAATTGTGCACTGTGTTAGTCTGGGTACTTTAGAGAAACAAATCCACAGAAACTCATATGTATAAGAGAGTTTTATATAAAGGGTAAGTGTGTTAGACAGGTTTCTCTAGAGAAACAAAACCAGACTGCTAATAATTTTATATATATTTATACAGATAGATAGATGTATAATATAAGAAATAAACAGTTAATTAAATTATAAAGCACTACAAATGGCTCATTGCAACTCACTCCTGTAAGACAGTTGTGAGACACTGGCAGTCCTTCAAGTCTTGAGGGCCGCCGGGCAGTCCTCTGTAGAGCAATTCAGGTTATCGGGACACAGGCAGCAAACAGCAAGGCAGGTCACCAGCAGTCAGCCTGATGATAGGGTCCTACAGTCCCCAGCTCAAGAGACGTAAATTCCAATGGTGTGGCGAAGCAGGTCTTGAGGGAACCTCAAATTATAGTGACACAGTCCACGGGTTAGGTGTCCCACAGGTAGTGTAGCTTGCAAATTGAGGCACAGAACAAGCAAGGCAGCCGCACACTGGTCCGATGATCAAAGAGCAAGAGACAAAAAAGGCAAGGCTCGCAGAGCCATTTATCTCTCTGCCCTTCAATTAATCGGCCAGATTGGCACAATAAACTAACTACCTAGTAAGTGCACATCAAGAAAACATCCAAACCTGGTGCTGCCCACGTCCACAAGTCCAGAGTCATTAACTAGATTGTAGAGCCCAGGGAGCTTTGTGGGGAGAGGGGGTGCTAACAACAGTGAGTAAGAGAAGCAAATGTTTTGAAGTTGATTGTAGTAATATCTGCACGGCTCGTCTTGATATGTTTGAATTATTCAATTGAATGATATGTGGATTATGCCAATAACACTGTTAAAAAAAAAAGATTATGAAGCCTGATATTAATCAACCAGAATATAAATCAGCACTGCTTCCTTCACCCACGGGGTCTGTATGGTCACACACACACACACACACACACACACACACACACACACACACACAAAGAATCATTTGAACCAAAGAGTAACAGTAAAAATTGTGATCATGTAAAGGCAACATAGAAACCTGCGCTCGTCTTCCTTGTCATGTGATGACATAGACGTGGACAGCAGCTGTGGTTGTGTGGTTGTGTGCTGAAGCACCGCAGGGATCAAGAGGAAACTTTGTTTGAAAAAGCCGCAACCAAAGGAAGAAGCCAGTTTGGGCTTCAATCTTGGAAAGATCCCTACTTTTTAGGATGTGGACTGGTCAGCCTAACTGGAGTATTGGTTTGATGTCTTTGGCATTTTGAACAATGATAACCTTCCTGTAAGAAAGAAATATAACATGTTTTCCAAAAACATGTTTTCAAATCAAAGACCACCTGGATGTCCCACCAAAAACAGACAAAAACCCTAAAATCACTGACTCCTGGTGAATCTATAAGTCAGAGTAGAACTCCCTCTGTGGGTTTCCAAGTCTAACTGTTTAGGGGAATAAAAAACCTCATCTTTCTCCCTAGGTGCAGCTGATGGTTTCAAACCACTGACCTCGTGGTTAGCAGCCCAACAAGTAACCACTATGCCACCAGGCCTCCTGGATGTCTCACAGACTCCTCAAATTCAATATAGATACAGCCAAATTCAGGTCTCTTTCTCCCCAACTTTTTTTTTATAATTATTACCTTCTACCTAAGCCAGAAATCTGAAAAACACCCTTAGTCTTTCCCTTAGGCTACTTCTTATATTCTATCATTAAGTTCTGTTGATTTGACTTTAAAAAAATCATTTTATTGGGGGTTCATACAGCTCTTATCACAATCCAAACATACATCCGTTGTGTCAAGCACATTTGTTGGCCTCATCATTCTCATGACTTGACTTTCTTTTCATCTCTCATTTGTGCCTCCTACTTAGGGTCCCATTGCTTCTACCTTGGGTTAGACTTTGGTGTCTCTACCCTTGACATCTGACACTTCCTTAAATAATTCACCTATCAGCTGTCTGTCTTCAGGAATACTCTCTTCAAATACTGTTTGCGTTACTTTCCTATTAACAGTTTTGTCACCTTTGGGTAGCATTGCCTACCATCACCCACCCAATTTCTACGGTTGCTCAGTCTTCCTTTGTTTCCTTATTGTGGCCCTCTTACCTTCTGTCACTGTGGTTCTCAACCTTCCTAATGCCTCGACCCTTTCATACAGTTCCTCATGTTGTGGTGACCCCCACAACCATGTTTATTTTCATTGCTACTTCATAACTCTAACTTTGCTACTATTATGAATTAGGCGACCCCTGTGAATGGGTCATTTGACCCCCAAAGGAGTCACAACCCACAGGTTGAGAACCGCTGTTCTATTACCGTACCCATTAAACTATGTTATATCTACTTGTTAACTTGGTAACCCAAGAGACTGGAGGTTACTAAATCAGACCTTGGAAATAAATAACTGGTTAAGAGGAAGATTCAAAGGTAATATGGTGATGAGAGTCAGAAAAAGGATCATTTACTAGGGAGGGTTTTGTTTTGTAGGATGGCTGAAGTTGAGCAGCAAAGTGGCATTAACTGGCTTTTTACACTTTGGACTCAAAATCTGATCTAAAGGGTTTTTTGTCTTGTTTTGTTTTTGCTGCAGAAGTGTCAGGTGATATCTGAGATCTAAGTAAAGCTTTCTTGTGATTGTTCAGTTTGCAAATATTAGGACACACAGACCAAATGTCTATAACAATGACACGCACTGTGTATGCTATAGTGATGTACAGTCTACCAAATCCTTTTCCTCCTGTTATTTTGTTTGACTCTTAAAACTTTGTTTAAGTTTGTTCCCATAGCTATGAAATAAGGATAATGAGAGACATGTCTTCAGGTGGTTTCCAAGATATCGTCTGTAGAGTATATACCAAATCAACTGATTGCTGTCGACTCATTTCTGACTCACAGCAATCCTTTAGGACAGAGTAGAAAGCTCATGGGGTTTGCAAGGCTGCATTTTTCACAGAAGCAGACTGTTGCTTCTTTCTCCCAGAGCCACAGGTGAGTTTGAACCACCAACCTTTGAGTTAGCAGCCAAGCACTTAAACACTGTACCACTAGGGCTCCATGTAGGGTAAATAGTACAAAATATATTTTAGTGTTGTCTAAATAGGGAATATGAGGCCCATAATGGTTAAATGAGGGATTTCTGGTAGTGCAATGGTTAAGCACTTGACTGCTGATGGAGAGGTCAGCAATTCAAATCAACCAGCTTTTCCAAAGATTTACAAACTCGCAAACCCCATGAGGCAGTTCTACTCTGTTGCAGAAGGTCATTATGAGTCAGAGTAGGCCCGGCAGCAATGGCTTTAATGGTTATGTAGCTTGCTCATGGTCATAGAGGTAAGACGGTGACACATTTAGATATAAAGCATAGATCATATAAGCCTTTGTTGCTGTATTCTTTTTAGTATTCTAGAGCATGGTGTAAGACTATCGGCTATGTTATTTGGTACATCGAATCTTCAATTTCCAGCAAAGGCTTATCCAAAGCTGACTTTAGAAGTACTCTATAAAAGAGCTAATTGCCAAAATCAAGCAAAATATATTGATTGACTAAAACCAAAATGAAAGTAAATAACATTTCCTATCTATTGTATCAGAGCCCAGGTGGCACAGTGGCTATGCGCCAGACACTGAGCAGGCTAGTTCCTGCTTTGGGAAAGCTCTGTGGAAAGGTGTCTTTCTTTGCATTGCTTTTTAAAGATGTTGGTACTTTGTCCGGTTCTATACTACAGTAAGGGTGGGTTTGAAGCCCTACAGGGAGGGTCTGGGCACCTGTAGGGAGGCCAGAGAATGATTCTGAGCTGAAGTTAACTGATGATCATACCCATTTCTCTGATTTTTGTAGAGTTTTGTTGTGGAAGAATCTGAAGCCACAAAATTTGAAGTGGAGATGAAGTTATTAAGTAAAAAAGTTCTAGCAGGTATTCTTCTAATCTAAATGAATGTTTTTAGCATTCGGTATCATTGAGAGTTTCTGCTGAGGATATGCATCATCATTTTTTTAAACATTCGGACATTGCAGGACTAGATTTAAAGTGAAACATTTTCATAATCTCTCCTCTGAAACAACCAGAGATAAGAGAGATTTCTTTTACGTTCTTACTCTTTTCATCTCTCTGATTTCATAAGACCATGAGGGCATACCATCCAAATGTTTTCGTTGCAAATTAAGTTTTCTGTGTAACAAAGGGAGATTGTCTTAGTTCGAACATTGATAACATCACTGTTTTAGCATTGCACGCCAATAGCAAAACATGATTTATGTAACTTAATCCTGTTGTTAAATAGTGAAATTACTCCTAATATTTTATTGTTATAATGAATGTTGCAATAAATTCAAATACACACAATTGGGTCTTGCTCAATACTTGGAGTATTTATCGTGGTTTTTTTTT